AAGTAAATCAGAGCTAAAAAAGTGCAAAAACGCAGGCAAATTTGCCTGTGTTGGTCTACATATTAAGGGATAATATTGTAGTTTATATAAAGGATGACAACTTTTATTGTTATACTTTTAATAATTTACTAATAAAAATTAAGACTTGTATTAGAAACAAAAAATTTTTTAAAGATAAAGATATATAAAAATTTAAAAAATTTAAAGAAAATTTTATAGTAAAAATTTTTAAAGCAAGAGTTTTAAATTTTTATTACTCTAAAGATTTCTAGTAAAATTAAAAAAATTTTATAATAAAGTTTATAAAATATATTTCAAATAAAATATTGTATATATAAAATATATACTGTATTATTAATAATTTTTAATTTTATTTAAAAAATTATAAATATTTTTAAAATTTTAGACAAATTTGTCTGGAATACAGTTTAAGAAATAATAATCATCTATATTTAATACTATCACTTTTTCTATATACAGTATTTAACAAGCACAGAATTAACAATTTTAATATGTTTTTTGGTTGTATTAGTTTTAAACTATACAATTAAGCAAGATGTAACTATTATATCTAAATTTGCAAGTGTATTAATAATAGTATCAGAAATACTAGTTAAACCCAAATACAATATTAAATTTCTTTTAGTATTATTTACAAATTTATTTTTTATTTTATAAAAAAAATAGTATATAAATAAAAGCTATTTTTTTACCCAGGTTTGTATTTTTTTATTTTTTAATTGCAGGTTAGATAAGGCATATAACTCATTAAAAAACAATTTTAGTCTTGTATTTTTTTTTTTTTAATAGTTGTCTAGAATTCATCAAATAAATATATTGCTAGCTTTTTTTCTTTATTTTTATATTTGAATAAAATTTTTGCTAAGACAGTATTATTTATCATCTGATTTTTTTTTATCAGAAGCATACCCTCCTTTTCTCTTTTTATTATACAGTCAGATCTTCCTAAATGCATATTCTCTAAATACATAGTCTCTCTAAATATATAGCTTTGCATAGTTCCAACTTATACTGTATAACATTTATAGATTTTTATCTCCCTAAATACAATATCTCTCTAAATGCAAGATTTTTTGACTGCTCATAGCTATGCATTTAGAGAGGTCTAACTATATATTTGATCAGGTCTTTATATATAATTTTAACTTTTTTTATTTCTCTTCTCTTCTAAAAAATCATCTAATTTTTGTCACTTCCCTTATTATCCTTATTGTATTAAAAAAAAACAAGAAATTAGAATTATTAGCTTTTTCAACTTTAGATCGCTTCAAATTGTTAATATTTTTAACTTCAGATTCTAAGTTGTTTTATATTAGTTAGAGCATATTGTTATAATTTAACTAAGCTTTTTATTACAATTCCATTGTAGCAATTTAAACAAATTGTATTACCTATTTTGAGATAGAAAGGTAAAGTTTCATTAGCTTGTCTCTTGGTAATAACATTTTCAGTTACTAATTTTTAGCTGTTTGACTTTTTTTCACATATTGCAATCACACATGGGCCTATAATACTATTAGTAAGTAGCATTTTTGTCTTCTAAGTGAAGTAGGTCAAAAAGATAATTCTTTTTTGGTTCTTTTGCACAGTTAATATTAACGCTTGTCTGAAGTTAAGAATGGCCTTTACGGCGATTTTTTATTAGTAAAACGTTATATTCTCAAAAAGTACTCTAAAGTGTATAAATAAGTTACCTGGGCAATTAATCTACGTCAACCAATCAAACGAATGTCTGACCATGAGTAACGAATAGTGAAATATTCGCTTCTAAGTGAAGTTACTGATTATTTTTGATTTTTTTACATAGTGAATACTGTATAAATAAGTTACCCGGGCAATTGATTTACGCTAGCCAATCATATGAATGTCTTCCTATGGTGATAGGAGGGAATAAAATTGCATTCATCAAAAAATTGAAAGTCCTCCGCATCAAAATTCGTTAAACACGTAAATTTGTTTTTGTTGCACGACATAAATATCGTGACAGACGTAAAATAACAAAATTACGTTAATGATATTTTTGTTAAGAATATATCAAAAAACGTAATTTTGTTCATCAAAAATGCATAGAAATTGTCTTCCGCTTTGTCCCGGACGGAGCTGCGGCATTATATTTCAATAAATGCCGTATCAGTATAACTTATTGTCTGCGGACTTCACGTGAGATTATAAACCTATTTAATAACGCGAAAAATCAATAATCACAACAAAATTTTTTTTTACTTTTTACCAAAACTGTTTGTAATCCGAACATGTCTTCCGAAATCTTGAGTGTTGGCGTAATCAAAGAAATGTTTGAGGCTGTCAGCGAGGACGGTCCGAGGCCAGAAAGCCCAGTGCTTCAAGTAGTAAGATTTTCTGCAAATCAAAATAATCCAAATGAATCGTTACAGTCAAGAGTTAGGTACGTTTGTTTCTACTTGATATCAAGTATTACGTGAATACTTTATTAAAATTAAGTTTCAACGCGTCTTCATTATTGGTATGATGTCAACTTTGCTTACGCGTTCTATACATCTATTAATATAATATAACTTTTTCCATGTTCGCTATATAGAGTAGCATTTTCTGATGGACAGGAACTTGTATCAGGTCCTTAATTAAGCTGCAGTTTTCTATTATCATGTTTACGAACGAAATATTCATTATTTTTGCGATAACACAGGCATTATTCCTGTAAACCTCTTGAGGAGCATCAGTGGGGGCCGGCTCGAAAGAGGCCAACTACTTAGGTTAACCCATTATAATTGTAGTATCAGTCAAAGTACCAAAGGGCAACAACCACAAAAGTAATATTTTGATTGTTTGTTTAAAAATACCAGATTATTGTTTACTTATTAATCACTAATTCTTATATTTAGAGTAATAGTTGTCAGTAATTACGAAGTGGCCAGCAGCGAATTACAACCAATCATAGGCAACCCATTTCCTGGACAAGACACAGTCACCGAACGTTCTCGACCTTTGGCTCATCCGAACCCTCAACCTTCGGCACCACCAAATCCTCAACTTCCTCAACAGCCTGCTCCAACGTTTCCGCGATCTGTACCTGGTATCCAGCAACAAATGAGACCACCTACACCTACTTTTAACGGAGGAGGTATCATGAGATCCAGGTGATTTTTTTAAATCGTAATTTAATACATTAAATTGATCAAGTCATTTACGTGAATACCATTTCAGTTCCAATGATATGCGGCGAACATCAACAGGTCTCGCTGATGAAGGAATTTTCCCTATCAATTTACTTAGTCCATATCATAATAAGTATGTCGAGTTCACATATTTAATTTATTTTGTATAATTTGAATTTCACGGTATTATTTGTCGTAGGTGGAAGATTAGGGCGGTTGTTGGCGCAAAATCGGACATCAAACATTGGCAAAATCAAAACGGTGCAGGAAAATTATTCAATTGTACTTTGTTAGATGAAAGTGTAAGCTATAGTTTATTAAATGGTTTAGCAGCCATTTTTTTCTTTACTATATGTATATATGTTTGATGCAAAAAAGCCTCTTGGTCTTAATATTCAACCTTGGCGTATTAATCTTTTGCTTGAAATGACTCGTCGGGCTTGGCATCAAATCTCTGTGGTTGTTAAGAAAAAGTTTGGTCAATGCAAAGATCTTGAATACTTAACATTG